AGCGTTGCCCAAACCCTCGTCCAGCCGGCCTATCAGCCCCTTTACCCTGTCCCCGCTGTTGTACGGCCCAGGTTCCCTCCAGCCTCCTTCAGCGCAGCCCTCAGCGAGCGCTCCGACATGCCTCGCAGCGCCCCAGCCCGGTTAGAGCATGCTTGTCTCTGCAGGCGCCTCCGGGATGAGGCCCTCCAGCCCCACACACGGTCCTCTAGTTTATCCTGCAGCGCCAGACCCGCCTGTGTTCCAAGGAGGGGGGCTTGGCATCTCGGGTCCAGCGGAGCTTTGGTTTACAGCACGCTATCCTCCTCCATCCACTTGGATATGATTTTACTCAGCGGGTTCCCTGCTCCCAGTCACAGGAGGTCTGGAGTTTACTGGAGCTTCTCCCTCAGAACACTCCCAGCCAGGGAAAGAAGTCAGACATAAGGAGACTAACTGGTTTTAGGGGCAGAGCCCAAAAGGAAGGTATTCCTCCCTCTTCCCTCCCTTCACGCCCCCACAACACGTCGGCTGGCTCACTCCCCCCCCCCCCCCCCCCCCCCCGCCTCCATGCCATCTCCAGTGTCTCTGCAGCCTGACCCTGAAGTGTGGAACTGCCTCTGGGGTATATGTCCCCCCTCCCCCTTCTCTCCCTCCTCCCCTGTCTGGTACCCTGTTCTAGTGTTTAGTTGCTTAGAGGTCAAAGGCTCAGGGGGCTCCCAGGGACAGCCTGATGGTCATGTTGAAATAGTCAGGGGGGCAGGGAGAGGAAGGTGGAGGTGGAGGACAAGATAGAGAAGAGACCCCTGGGGAGAGGCTGGGAGACCCACAGGAGAAATAGACAGGCACGAATCTGCAAAACCCAGGATCTGATCAGTCTCCTCCCTAAGCATCTGCAACCTTGGGTCGGCTGTTGGATCCCCCCCCCATTTCCTAAATATTATGAAATTGATTGCAATAGCCATTTGGCTTTCCTTGCAGGTTTTGTGTGAGATGATAGATGGGGAAGTCCTTGGAAAAGAGAAAAGTACGATTATGGAGGAGCTGGCATGAGATGACCAAGGATGCAGGGGAGGGTGGGGCTGCGTGGGAAGGAGCAGACAGGCATGTATCCACGGATGGGGGAGAGGGCAGAGCAAGGCCTCAGAGAGCGGCCTCCAGTCTTGCCCCAGCCTCTCCAGTGAGCCTGCCTTCAATCTATAACCTTGGCCAGCTGGGACAGGCTTTCTCCATCCTCCAAAGCTTCTGCCAAAGGGTGCTCTGCTTTCTTCAGCATCCTGTTGTGGATGGGGTGAGGTGGATAAAGCTCTGTGTTTAGGACTCACTTCCGGTCTCAGCTGCTCCACTGGGCCCACCTTTGTCTCTTTCTACCCCTTCCTCATGTTGTTCCCTTCAACGGGGAGAGTGTCCACAGAGGGCCCAGGGGCTCTTTGGAATCTACTCTTGTTCTTCCTGTCTACCTGTGCCATCTTGTCTCTAGGCCTCAGGTCCAGCATGCTGGACTTGTTTGCTTTTTTTGTAGGTAGCAATTTAAAAAAAACAATGCTCCAGTCTTGTGTCTGGGGAACATCTTGGTCTAATCAGAACTCCTCAGGCAGGAAGAACACTGATACTTCCTTTAGTTTGGGAGTTTCCCCAGTTGGCTCATTTCACTCCCCCTCAGGCTGTGCTGCAGCTGTGTGAGGGTAGTGTGTGCCTTGCTGTCGCTAGTGACTGTTGGCCTAGGCAGGTGCCTGTTCAAATCTTCTGTGGTGAGCTGAGCTTCAGCTTCTGGTGTTTTCTTCCCACTGAGTTTTGACTTAGAGTTCCCCCACTGGTTAGGGTGAAGGGATTTCTTCCTGGAGAGAAGAGCTAATGAAGCTTTTCCTCAGTTACCTCTCCAGTGTCTCTTCCCATCTTGTCCTCTCGCTGTCCTTTCTTGCACCGCTCCCCCCACTTCCTAGAGAGAAAGGAGTTAGGGGGAACTGGAGCATTTATCCAGGGCTCAGGATGCCCTGGCTCAGGAACCGGCTCTCGGTAGACCTTAAAGATGGAGTTCTTGCTGTATAGGACAACAGCGAGTCAAAGGCGGTTCCAGAAACAAGGTGGATGGAGACATGGATCTACAACCTAATTTCCAGAACCAGGTGCAGAGTCCCAACTTGATAGGGAGGTGTGGGGGTGGTGGTGAGCAGAGAGGGGTAGATTCTGAGAGTGGCAGAGGAAGGTTGTTTGATGGTTTTGATAGGAATGGGGCCAAAAATCACAGAGCCCAGGGTCAAGGTGTGGCTGCAGCCTGAGCTTTCCCACACCCGTGTATGAAAAGAACTCAGGGATCCTTGAGCATCCCTGGACTTGAAGAGGAACAGGTTGCCTTAGAAAGATTAGAAAAGAATGATGGGGAGAAAAGATGATGATGGGGAGCTCATCCCAGTTTTCCAGGATGAGCCGAGCTGAGGGTTGCTGGGTGAATGCAGGGGTCTAGGGGTTGTGTGTGCTTGAGAGACCTACAGTGGAAGGAATGCTGGCAAGGAGTCAGGGATGCCAGGCTGGGGCCGAGGGACCAGGGAGAAGGTGGTGGATCCCTTTCTGTCCCCATGTCTGCCCCAAGCTGGAACAAGCTGTGCAGTGGATCAAATCACTTCGTATGTGGCTCCCATGTGCCTCCTCCAAAGAGGCTATCATGGAGATGACGTGGGTAGAGCAACTTGAATGGAGGCAGGAAGACAGGGTATATCTGTCCCTTCCCATTTCTGGAGAAGCCCCTTTGGTAGTAGGGATGTATCTTCTGCCCCCTTCTTTAGCCTACTTGGCCTCTCCAGACCAAGGAGCTCTGTATTAACTTTATACACTTCTGGTTTCTCCCAGAACTCAACTCACACTTCCACTTAGAGAAAAGACAGATTACCAAGAGAGTGAACAACTTTCCTGCCCTCATCCCAGCTCTGGGGAGGCTAGCTCGGCAGACTCTAGAGACTGATAAATGATGCCCCAACACTCCCCTCTCTCCTTCCTCCCTTCTGGTCCTCCCTCTAGGTTTCCTTTCAGCCTCCATCCTTCCAGTGTCATCCTCACTCATGCACATCCCCTGGATTGTGGATAGTCAGACTGGTGTTGGGGGCTGGGAGGCAGGCAAGGAGGAGCTGACCCAGTGAGAACACACCCACCATATAGGAGGAGAGAAAGTGTGTGTGTGGGGTAGTAATAGCTCAACATTCCTCCCACCCCTCACAGCCAGGTTGCAGTTATTCAATAAAAGGAACAAGGAGAAAGAGTTGAGAGGCATTCACAAGCTTTTATTGACTTTCTCAGCGGTGTCAACTCCTGGACCCTGGTTCTTCAATCCATGATCCCCAGGTCGGTCCTAGAGGAATCTACCTTTCTGTCAAGGGCCAGGAAACTGTCAGTGTAGAAAAGAAGAAGGCAGAAAGATGAGGCGCCTCTCTGAGAGGGAGTAGAGGACCTTGAGCCAGGGCATTCCCAATGGGGGGCATTGGGAGGACAGGGAAGCAAGAAGTGTGGGGAGGAGGTGTGGCTTCTGTGGCTCAGTGCCAGCCATGAGTAAGCTGACCCTGAGTTCAAGTCTTGCTACCAGAAACAAAACAAAAAGATGTGTGTGTGTATGTGTGCGCACGTGCGTGTGCACATGGGCCCTTTTCAATATGAATGTACCCCAGTTTTCTGACCTCACCTCTAGCTTCCAACCTCCCCTTGCCCTTTACTTCACTCCTCACTGCCCCCTCTTTTTCCAGCTCCAGGGGAAATCCTGTCACTGTTCAAATGTTCCCGTTTGTCACATCTTTCTCTCTCTCTCTCTCTCTCCCCACCCCATCTGTCCCCAGTACTGGCGTTTGAAATCAGGGCCTCAAGCTTGCTAGGCTGAGATAATATTACTGGCCAGTAGCTCCAGCTGTTTTTCACTGGTTGTTTTTAGGAGAGGGTCTCATTTCCTATTCTTGGACCTCACTTTACCTACTTTTAGGTTTCCCAGTCATAGCGAGTACACAAGAGTGCACCATCACATCCAGCTTTACTCTGTGGAGTCTCACCGACATTTCTGCCCGAGCTGGCCTCTAACCAAGATCGTCCTGTTCTCAGCCTCCTAAGCCACTGGTATCTAGCTCTCTGGTTTAGGTACATAGCCTTCCACCCCTCCCTCTTTAGTGCCCTTTATCACCGTTGTCATCGCCATCCTCCCCCCATGTTCCACCTTCTTTTTTGGTGGTACTGGAGGTTTGAATTCACAGTCTCATTCATGCTAGGTTGGTGCTCTACCACTTGAGCCATGGCTCCAACCCTGTTTTTTGCTGTTTTTGAGCTAGAGCTCTGCTTTCCACCCAGGTGCATACCTGAGCCACTATCTGCCTACTTTTGAGCTTTCTCTTGCTGCTGGGATCACAGGCTTCCACCACCAGTCCAGCTTCTCTCTGTGAAGACAGTCTCACGGACTAGGCTGATCTGATGCAGAGATCCTCCTGTAGCCTGAGATAACAGGCACGTGCCAGAGCAGCCAACTAGAGGCTGAGAAGGAGTCTTGTGAATTTTTCTGCTTGAGTTGGCCTTTAACCATGATCCTTTCATTTTCAGCCTGCCAAGTAACTAGGATTTCAGGTGTGAGCCAACAGGCTAGTCAAGTTTTCATCCTTTACGCATCAGTTCACCCATGTCCACAGCGAGGCCTCTGAGGTCACCCATAGGCAGGCCTAGGCTCCCTTTGGTGTGTTCCCATAAGCCCTTGCTTCCAGCTGCGCAAACCACCTGGGGTCACTCTCTGTTCTGTCACAATGTCCTCAAAACAGTGGGGTGGAGAAGACAGAGGGCTTGGGAACTTTCTTCTCTGAGTCTAGCATAATCCAGGTACAGGGTGGGTACCCCCAAATCCAGCTACCAGCAATGGTGTTGTGCAAGAGAAAGATGAGATATTTAGGGGGAGATGGAGCGGTAGGCTGAAATGAGGGCTGGGATGGAATGGGGCAGTCAAGGGAGCAGAGGGTCTGAAGGAAAGTCGAGGGCACAGGACCGGGAGTGAGGATGTTCTCTGCTCATTAGACCATGGTGCTGAGGGTGGAGGAGTCCTCGGAGCGCACAGGCAGCACGGGGGTCCTTTTGAGAGGACGCTGGGTCTCATCCCGATTCTGCCACACGTAGTGGATCAGATAAGCTGTCACCAGGATCAGCCAGCCCCCCATGGTGACCAGCAGGGCCACATCAGTGTTCCTCCGGGCCCCACCTCGCCCTGTCCCACACAGCTCTTCCTCCCTGGCCAGCAGCAGGAACTCCTGTCCCACAAGGTCTGGTCGGGCTCCTGGGCCACACACGATGCCCGTCCCAGTGCCCGGTGCCAGCCTCACCTGCTGAAGTACTTCCTGGAGAGCACAGTCACAGAGCCACGGATTGGCAGACAGGTTCACTTGGATCTGAAGCCCCACAAAGGCTTCCACAGGCACCGAGGCCAGCTGGTTGGCAGAGAGATCAAGGTGGCGTAGAGTGCCTGCCAGGCCCTGGAAAGCAGCCCCTGAGAGGTGGGCAAGGGCATTATGGGACAAATCCAGCTCCTCTAGGACAGGCAGGTGCTGGAAAGCTCCAGCTGGTACCGATGCCAACTGGTTAGCATCCAGGTAGAGCTTGCGGGTATCATTGGGGATGCCAGTGGGCACAGAACTCAGGCCTGCCTGACTGCAGCGGAAGGTCCGCTCACCAGCTTCCTCGGCCACATAACAGCCCTGGGGAGGGGTCTGGGGGCTGGGCACGGAGCCCCCTGTGTGTATTACCAGCAGAAGGGACAGGAGATGGGCAGCCGACAGGAACATGGCCACAGGTTGGCATAATCCTGGAGTGGAATAGGAGCTGGAGAAGAGAAGACCACACCCATGAAGGAAGAGCAAAGAGAACTTTCCCCACCACCAGCTCTTTTATCCTAGGTCCCCCTGTGTGTGTATGTGGGGGGTGGGGGGAGCAGGGACCCTCCTTTGGGGCTTTCTTAGGCCTACATCACTTTCCTTTCTTACTTCCTCCTGGGTGAGTGGGGTGGGGGGAGGGCTTCTCCAATCCTGGGGCTTGAACTCAGGGCCTGGGCACTGTCCCTGAGCCTCTCTGTGCTCAAGGCTAGCACTCTACCACTTAAGCCACAGCACCATTTCCTGCTTTTTCTGTTTATATGGTACTGAGGAACTGAACCCAGGGCTTCATGCATGCTAGGTAAGCACTCTACCACTAAGCAACATTCCCAGCCCTCTAGAGCTTTTCAATAGGGTTCATAAGGTAAAGACTTGGACTTCATTTTGATCTATTGATTCTAGAAGGTTAATCAGTGAGGTCTGCCTCTGACTATGTATTGATTCCCCTCCCTGCAGGATTAATTTAATTCCCCCCTCCCCACCTACCTGGGTGGCTGCCAGGTGGGCAGGTAGGCATCAGAGGGTCTAGTTGGCACTAATAGAAATTGCCTAGCTAGACTAGACAATTAGGCAGGATATACCTCGGCTTCCATCCTCTCCCTCCATTTGTCCCTGTGCTCTCTTCCCTGCTCAACCTCCCCCTCCCCTCCCTTCTCCTCCCTGCCTCTCACCCGGTTGGTGGCAGAGTCTTCTTCTGTGCTGTTGCCCTCTCCCCGGAAGTAGTCTCCCTGCCGCTTAGCTCTGGAGACCCGCTTCCTCCTCCAGAAGCCCTGTTTGCTCATAGCAGCTGGAAGCTGGGGCCTGGGGCCCAAGTATATTGGGTTTCCTGGGCATGTGACTCTGGGCCCCAGGTGTCAGATACCTGAGCTGTGGCCTGGCCAGGAAATGCCAAGAGAGCAGATCTCAGACCCTGATGAACTATGTGTGGAAGACCAGGCCCTAATTCCATTCCTTACCCCTATTTCCTCTTCCATCACTGCCTTTCTAGCTGACATGGAGACTCTGCCTGCCAGAGCCTCCCATCCTTGCCCAGAGCCTGGCTGGGCACAAGGATCACTGTTTTGAAGGCTTGGGGGACAGAACATCTCAGATCTATTACCTTCCAAAGTCACCATTCTCCACCCTAACAGCCCTCCTCCGAGCACATTGTGGAGGGTTGCAAGCTTCCCTCAGCCTTCCAATTCTGAAGACTTCCTCTGGCTTCTCATGGTGTCAATTTTCTCGCCTGCCAGGGGGCGCTGTGGTCCAACTTTTGTTTGCTATGATTGGTTGATGGTCCCTCCTAGGAGTTGGATGGGGTTCTTCAAGGCCCTTTAAGTCTGATATGGTGGCCTATGAGTTTTGTTGCCAATTTTATGCTGTGGATCGAAACTGACTCACTTTTTCTTGTTATGCTGGGGTTGACACTTTGAACTCTTCCTCATGCCTGAGAACCAGGCATGGGTAACTTAGTTCCCTGGGCTGCTTGATCTGACCATCATTTGTAGACCATGTCACCCATCTCAACACCCTCTCTTAAAGGCAACGGAGTGGTAGGAAGACTTTAAAGCCAGAAAACATGCTTTGTGTGTGCTTCAGGCATGTTACCTCATCTCTCTGAGCATTGGTGTATGCTTTGCCTTGCCTCTCTCTCTCTCTCTCTCTCTCTCCCTCCCTCCTCTCTCTTGCCAGTCCTGGAGCTTGAACTCAGGGCTTGGGCTCTGTCCCTAAGCCTCTCTGTGCTCAAGGCTTGCACTCTACCATTTGAGCCACAGCTCCACTTCCAGCTTTTTCTGAGTGGTTTATTGGAGATAAGAGTCTCACAGACTTTCCTGCCTGGGATGGCTTCAAATCATGATCCTCAGATCTCAGCCTCCTGACTAGCTAGGATTACAGGCATGAACCACCAGTGCCCCACTGGTGTCTGCCTTTGTAAGAGAGAAAACTGCTGTAGGGTTGATAGGTTGCACTAGGGTTAAGTGGATGTGAAGGAGCTATGCAAGTTGCTCTGCAAATGCTAGTTGTCATAGTCACTGTCTTCTAGAATACACTATGGCTTCTCTTATTTTAGGTTTATTCTCTTCACCTTATCACTTATGTTCTTCAGGGGGCAGAGTTGACAAGAAGTCATGGAGACAAGTATCCTTTTCCTCTGTAATTCCCTTTACCTTCAGGTCCAACCATGTTGGTTTGGTGAATTTATAATAGCCTCAATGATTCACAGAGCTCAAAAGAAAGGACCACCTGTTTTTCTTAGACTGCAGATAGGTAAACTGAGGCCCAGAATATAACCAGAGTTTCACAGTGAATCAATGACCCAACAGATCACAGCCTAGATACCTGATTCCTTCTCTAACTACTTCCTGTTCCCATTGACACCTCTGTCACCTCCCAGCCACACCAATACACTGTGTCCTTTTCTTTAGACCCCTGATACATTATATGAAACCCTGGCTCTCTCCCACTAGGTCTGAAAGGTAGAAAAGGGGGGTGTCACCATCTAGACAGGACAGATCTGTAAAAATCTACCTTTCCCTCCCTTATTTTTGCCTCCCTCCCTCCTTCCTTCCTTCTTTCCTTCCTTCCTCCCTCTCTCCCTCCTTTCTCCCTTCCTTTCTCCCTCCTTCCTCCCTTCCTTTCTCTCTCCCTCCCTCCTTCCCTCCCCATCCCTCCCACCTTTTCTTCCTCCCTGCCTGCCTGACTTCCTTCCTTCCTTTCGCTCTCCCTTCCTTCCTTCCTGTTGTTTTTTTTTGAGACAAGGTCTTGCTATGTAGTCTAGGTTGGCCTTACATCCAAGATCCTCCTGCCTCAGTCTCCTTGCTAGATTTTGTTAGAGATTATGGTTGACAGATACATAATTGTAGGACTTAGTGAAAAATGTTGGTCCTTTTGTTCTAAAACGGTTAGGAATTTCAAGGTGTGGTAGCCGTGCACAAAATCCAGCATGAAGTCTTTCTGAGCAATGATGTGGAGCCTCATAATGGTGTAGGTTACATGTCCATGGAGCTGACCCTGTGGGTTACCCTTGAACAAGAAGTTTCAGAAGCTTGCTGGAGCAAGAATCAGATACCAGATGGTATCGCCTCCAGGAATGTGCTCACCCCTGACTCATTCTTGTGACAGCAACAGGGACAGTGCTCAGACTCATATTTGTCCAAGGAATCAAATAACATTTTCTACACCTAGAGAGAAGCAAAAATGTTCTATGTGTGTTACCTATTAGTAAGGCCATCAGTGTGCCACTAAATGCTTGGGAATGCAATTTGGGACTGTGGCTGAATGTGGGAAGAAGGCTTGTGGCACCCTTCCCCTCCTATTATTTTTTTCTCACACTGGCAAGGGATTTAGCTAAGGCCTGAGAGATGAACCTGGATACCGGTGAAGAGTTGAGCCTGGATATTGGACAGGCCCCCTGGAGCTGGGGATGTGCCGTGGATGTGTTTAATTGAGAGTATCTGAGAGCAGGGCTCACAAAACAGGATATCTGAGGGAGGGAGGAACTATAGAACAGCACATACTGCAGGCTGGGCATTGAGATGTTGGAGCAGAAATTCTCTGTCCTTCATTCCTTTGTTCCCTTATTCAGTGTGGAGTTCCTGCAAGATTGATGTCCCAAGTATTGTACAGATGCTGCTCTTAGGTACTGGGTCTGTAACAGCTATTTTCAAAATACTCTGCACATTAGAATCACTAGGGGTGCTTTAAAATAATTTACACTGGTGATTTATCTGGACCATTAAAAAAAATCTTTTAGAGGTATTGGCGTTTGAACTCAGGACCCTCATGCGTGCTAGGCAGGTACTCTGCATTTCACCAGGATCCTAGCCCTTTTTGCTTTATTTATTTTTCAGGTAGCATCTCTTGTTTTTTATCTGGGTGTGCCTGGAATGTGATCCTCCTACTTTCATCTCTTGAGTATCTGGGATTACAAATGTGGATGATTACACTCAGTCCTGGGTCAATCAAATTAAAATCTCCATGGATGGGGTCTGGGTACTAGCTTCTCTCTCTAAAATTCCCCTGCTGTTTGTAATGGGCAGTCCAATTTGTGACCTGTTGGTCTAAGAGCCATAGCATATTGACACACATCATCACCATGCATAAATGCCAAGTCTGCCATAACTGACATACATACCAGGAGCTCTGCAACACAGAGAGAGGATAAGTAATGTGACACAACCTGCTGGCTGCCCACTTGGTATCCATTCCTCACCTCCTTTTGTGATAAATCTGGACTGGGGAGTTATTATGTACCTAGTCCCTGGTGAGTGAGCCTGATTGGTCCCTCAGATATCAGAAATCTCACCACTCATTTTTCCCACCTTCTCGGCAGCTGGAGCTGGAGGCAGTCTGATTCTGGTCAGTGGCATCTAAGAAGGAATTGGCTGAAGGATTTTCTGGGACAGTCTGACTTGTTAAAGAGAGAATGGGGCTAGGCCCTTCTTTTCTTCCTACTTGGAACTAGGGTCAGTTCTAGCCATCTTGTAATTCCCAAGGCAATAAGGCAGAAAGGAAAAGCATCTCACTGAGAGATTGGCCTGGACATCACTGAGCATCAACTTCACCTAACATCTGTCTCCCTTTGGATTCATTGTGAGAATGATAAGGCCCACCCTCAACCAGGCTGCACATTAGGATACCAGAGGCCTTGAAAACTGTGCCTGGATCCACCCACAGGAATTCTGAAGCAAAGATCCCGTATGTGTCCAGTGGTGGGGATTTTAAATGCTCCTTAGGGGATCCTAATGACAGCTTAGGGTAAGACCTATTGCTTTGTTTTGGTTTTCTGTTGCTCTCAGCTGGGAGCATTGTTTATCAGTACTTTTGGATATCACAGGAGGACCCAACAAGGAAATGCTTTTGAGGCCTTCAAGGCTGGGAAGGAAATGGGCAGAGTCAGGGAGCATGCATGAAATGATGTTGCTTCTAGATCATAGAGTGTGTAAATAGAGCAGGTGGTGACA